ATTATACAAATTATATATTATGGATACAAGTCTCTTATCAGATAGGATTTTCAAAACTTTCCTCCCATGCTGTGGCTTATCTTTTTACTTTCTTGATAACATCCTTTAAAGCACAAAATTTAATTTTGAAACAGTCCAATTTTTTTCCTTTGTTACTAGTGCTTTTGGTGTTGTTCTAAGAAACTATCACTTAGCTCAAGGTCACAAATATTTACTTCTGTTTTCTTGTAAGAGTTTTATAGTTTTAACTCTTATATTTAGGTGTATGATCCATTTTGAATTAAAATTTGTAGGTGGTATAAGGTGGAAGTCCATTGACACATGGTTATGCAGTTTTCCTGTTGAAAAGACAACTCTTTTATTTCTAAACTCTAAGTTATATTTCATATGCCCTTGACCTATACATCTATCTTTATGCCAGTACTAAACTGTCTTGATTACTGTAGCTTTGCAATAAGTTTTAAAATTGGTGTGTCTTTCAACTTTCTTTTTAAAAGTTGTTTTGGCTATGGGTCCCTTGCATTTCTGTCTGAATTTTATCATTAACTTGTCAATTTCTGCAAAAAAGAGCCAGTTGGGATTTTGATGGGAATTGAATCTGTAGACCAATTTGGGCAACACTTTCATCTTAACAATGTTAAGTCTTCCAATCCATGAACAAAGATGTTTTCCCATTTTTTAGGTCTTCTTTAATTTCTTCATTATTCATAGTGATGCTACTATAAATTAAATTTTTTTAAAAAGTCTCAACTTCAGAATGTTCATTGCTAGTATAGAAATAAAACTGGAGAGTCACCACGTTGCTTCCAAACATCCTGCTCACTGGTACACCAGGGGTCGCTAGACAAAGAACTTGCATCAAGATCAGGACTGGAACGCATTAGTGTGGGTGATTAAGCTCAAGAAGTCTGATCACTGGATGCATGGAGTCTGGCAGGATGGCTTCCCCAAGAGCATGCCAAAGGATGCGCAGATGATGGCACAAACCCTGAAGGATTATGGGGATTACAGAATATGAGCCAAGGGTTATCAATCAGATGTTGGCATTTACCTATCTTCCGATATGTGACCACAATTCTAAATGATGCAAAAATTCCTTCGAGCCATGCTAAGAAAGCTGCTATTGATGCAGCTGATGTGCAATTGGAAACCCAGTGTCCTCCCCCAATAAATTTTTCATTGTATATTGCAAGGCAACAAAATCAAACCCTTTGCCATTGATCAAGCCACATTCAGGCCCTAGATTGCCACCTGATAGATATTGCCTGGCTGCTCCAAACTATAGACTTAAGTCTTTACAAAAAATAGGCATCTACTTCTGCAGAAAGAATAACAGTTACACAGTTAAGCATTGGTTAGTTACTACAAGACCAACTACTCTCACACTTGGCACATCAACCCCACAAATCATGTCAGTTTCAACTAAAGCAGGGAATCCAATGTCCCTCACAGGACAAAGGTTTATAGTACAGATGCCCACTTCATAGTCCCTAGCTGTAAAAGCATCAATTCCTGTAAGATCAGCAGTTCAGAACACCCTAATTAATCCATCAACTGTGTCCAAAATCATTCTTATTACCACTAACATGATATCATCACAAAATACTGCCAATGAATCATCAAATGCATTTAAAAGAAAACATGAAGATGATAACTTGCAATCTGGCCTTGATGTATGTAACATGTGGTCTTGAACCCACTGTACTGAGATTAAACATGTGTGTTGGATGTTTTCAAGTTGTTTTAGAAAACTTTAACAGCATTTAATAAGTAAATATAGTTATCAGTGTTTAATTGAGATGTGTTTTAATAGAATTTACAATGGTTTTTTTTTATCAGCCTTTAACTGTAAAAAAATAAAGTTGTCATTCATAAAAAAATAAAACGGATTTTTGTATATTGATCTTATATCTATCCTATAACCTGTTGAACTCATTTATTTTTATTTTATGTTACCTGGTATACAGTGAAATATCTTGGTTTGCAGCCTAATTAGGTAACAAACAATTGCAAAGTCAGTGAACTCATTGTTTTAAAATAAACTCTTTAGGATTCCTATATAATGTCATTTGTAAATACATTTAGTTTTCCTTCTTTTCCAGTATGCTTGCCTTTTTTTTCTTTCTCTTGCCTAATTACCATGGTTGGAACCTCAAGTACAATGTTAAATAGGAGTGGTGAGAGAGAACATCCTTGTGCTCTTCCTGATCTTAGGAGGAGAGCATTCAACATTCGTCTGCTGCCATCAAGTATGATCTTAGGTGTGGGTTTCTGATAGATGCCTTTTATCATGTTGAGGAAGTTTCCTTTCATTCCTAGCTGTTGACTAAGTTTATCATGAAAGGGTGTTGAATTTTATCAAATGCTTTTCCTGCATCTATCAAGATAATCATGGCAATTTTGTCCTTTATGAACATGGCACAATTGATACTCATTATTCACAATTCTGAATTTTGAATTTGCCAATTTATTTGTAATCCCAAAATCAGTATTTGAAGCACTTTTTTGATCACTCAGACATGTGCAGACCAGTGAAGATTTTTTTTTTGGCCCAGGAAATGCTTTAATTCCAGTCCCCGCAGTGTGGGAGGCAGGCACCAAGGACTGCCTTGAGAAGACCTGGGGAGCCCGCCTTCTCAGCACGGCAAGAGCCAGGACAGCACTCCCCTACCCCAAACAGAACTTCTGGTTTAGAGTTCCCACGAAGTGGATCCAACACGCTGGCTCAGTGAGTGGGGAGCCAGGTCCAAGGTCAACAGGAAGGATGTGCTTTGGCTTAAGAGGCAGGTCTTCTTTGTCAGGGAGGGACCTAGGGGGCTGACTTCGGCAGGGGAAGGGAGGGGCTGTTGGGGATGAGGGACTCAGTCTTGCCTGGCTAGGACAGCTTGGGCCACAGCTGTACAAGCCCTGAGCAGGAGCAGAGGAGTCCAGACCAGTGAGGGCTGGAAGGGAGGGCCCAGCAGCAGCACTGGAGAACCGGCTGGAAAGACCCCGAGGGCTTGTCCACCTGCCTGGCTGCAGTAGGAAAATGTAAATCCGGGTTTTGGTGCCTGTTGCTCTGAGGGGCCCCGCTGGCTGTGAATCGCAGGGTCACGGTCCATCTGATTGTCTCTTCTGAGGGGACACAGCTGCCCTAGCCTTTTTGATAGCCGTCCAGTCCTCCCGCTCAGGCCCTGCGGGTGGAAGGATACCAGAAACGAGGGGTGCCTTCTTCCTCTTGCTGGGCGGCAGGGAGTCCCAGGTCCTCGAGCTGCCTCTGGTGTGCAGTTTGTCATCCCACCACTCCGAGCTGATGTCCAGGCTCTGGCGGTCCTCCTCCAGCCTCTGCATCCGCTCCTGCAGCTCCCCCTGCAGCGTGTCATAGAGCAGCAGCTTCTCACTCTCCAGGTGCTGCTTAGCTCCCTGCAGCTCACACTCATACTTATTCCTGATCACGTCCAGACAGAAGCCCTTGTAGATCCCTGCCACCTGAATGTGAATCTTGAGGCTCCTCTGCAGCACCCCCAGGGGCTCTGTGTATTCGGGTGCTCTCTCAGCCCCCACTTCCTCCAGCCGCACCTGCAGCTGACTCAGTCGTTCCCTGAACAACTTCTCCTTTAGCTCCGAGAACTGCTTCTCCAGGTCCAGCATCTCATTGACGCACTCGCTGCGGCTGGGCGCCGTTCTTAGTCCTCATCGTCCATCTGAGCTCTCCTCCTTGGACTCAGTCTGGCTGCCACTTCGTTCCTCCTCACTCTTTCTTCCTCTCCGTTCATCTCGGCAGCTGAATCACCCTCTGCTTCCATCTCTTCTGTGTCTTTGCTTGAAGGCTGGAGCGGCATCTGGGCTCGCAGGGAGTGGAGCCTCCGGCCTCAAGTCCGAGACTCTCGGACAGGTGGCCGGTGCCCGCTGCTGCGGGTGCTGGCCGCCGTCCCCAGTGAAGATTTTGAGTTCCTTGATGTGCATGCTCTCAGCTGAGGCGAACAATGCAATACCTTCTTGTTTCCGCTCTCCTACAGAGATGACCAGAGGATAGAGCAGACAGGGGACAGGGCAGTGTAGTGCAAGAAGGTCTGGCTCTGGGGCCATTTGGATAGCTTTGAATTCCCAATCTGACACCTGTTAGAGGGATGGTCTCAGGCAGGCACTTAATACTTCTGAACCTCACTTTCTCTTTTGTAAAATAAAGAAAACAGAAATTACCAGGATAAGTTGTTTTTAGGATTTAAGATTGCTTCTGGGTAGAAGCAAAGGCAATACAGTTATCTCTCTCTTTTTTAAAAAATATATTTTTACAGAGAGGAAGGGAAAGGGATAGAGAGTTAGAAACATCGATGAGAGAGAAACATTGATCAGCTGCCTCCTGCACACCTTCTACTAGGGATGTGCCCGCAACCAAGGTACATGCCCTTAACTGGAATCGAACCTGGGACCCTTCAGTCCGTAGGCCAACGCTCTATCCAATGAGCCAAACCGGTTAGGGCACAGTTATCTCTTAAGGTGAGTAAAATTCAATAAAAAATACATGTTATCAAGGAAGACATGTCCAATGTTTGTAAGAGTCAGACCAACAGCTACCAAGATTATCCAGTAGCAAACTTATCTTGATGTCTAGCTTTAACAGAGACAGACATTTTGTCACCTCTCATGTGCTTTCATGACCTTAGGAAAATTTCAGCTTGTTCTACAAAAAATTTATATACAAACCTTTTAACTCACAATTGTAGCAAAAAACCCTAAAGTTTGTACATTTCTAGATTATTTACAGATATATATATATTTACATATCTATCTTTAAATCTATCTACAAAAGTAATACCTATCTCAGAACCTGTCAGGGAGGCGGTGTGTAGTGGCATAAACATGGGCATAGAGATCTGGAGGTTTCAGTGCCAGTTCTCACTTAAACAAGATGTCTCAATTTGTTTCTCCTGCTGATAAAATAAGGTTAAGCTTGATGATCACTGGTTCTAAAAACACAATGACTTATTCTACAATAATGCCATTCCCACTGTTCTTACTTTAGAGTGGTCAAAATGAAAATATTTTTGTTATATACAAGTAAACTGATATACATCCATACCTCTTACAGAACAAACCAGTCAATTCACAAAACCTTAAAAGAGAAAGGAGGACGAGGAAGTCTGTGGTTAAATAATATAATTGCAACATCTCAAAGTCCTGAGCTTGCTGTGAAACAGCTGTTATTTTCCCTCTCTACATACACATACGTGCTTTTTCACCTCACTTTCTATAAGACTGTGGCATATGATGCATCTAGTAATTCTGATAACGTTCAAAAACAAGGAGGTCACTTTTCAGAAATCCTGAGCCCATCAGAGAAGTTAAATGGTATTTCATCAGTTGTCTCGACCGGCACGTTACTTCTAACAAACTGACACGAATAATGGTGTGTATGATGACTTGAAAGAAATGCATCTGCAGTCCGGCTGCATTGACAGCTATCCGACGGTACGGCACTACTTGAATTACCAAGATGTGAATGGTAAACACCAAGGAATGAGTCTTGAGAAGAATGATAATGTCCAGCTCCCACTGAGGTGGATGTAGAACTCTGGTAAGGGCCACTGCACATAATACAAGTTTGAAAGCAAGTCTTCCTTCCTGAACCTCGGTGGATGTCTAGTTTAGCAATGAGAGGTTTCCCAACATTCACTTCCTGCTTTTCCTCTATGGTATCTTCCAATCCGGAGTACTGATATGATAAGCATACTGTGAAGATCAGATGTTCCTGAAAAAGAAAAGGAGTAAGTATATTCAAACAAGTATAGAAAAACCAAGCAACAATGAAAATCCACTCACACTCCCCTTCTCCAGGTTCTAAATACTCAGGCATCCTTTACACCTTCCCTACACGAGAAAGGCCGGCTATAGTCTTCTCATTTCCCCTCAATCAATACTTTTAATTCATATAATTCTAGTTCTTACTATTAAAGTAGTCAAAAATCACAGAGATCCTGTGTTATATTCTTGATGAACAGTGAAAAGGTATATTCAAAGCAGTGGGGCTTCAGAAACTTCCCCTTCTCTACTGTTGGAGATGATGGGGGTAATCCTTTAATGAAACAATAGTCTGGCTTTATACCCAAGCCAAAAGGTTATCTGTTTTTAAAATATTGTGAAATAATAATCCACAATTATAGGTGGTGTAACTAAATCAGAAAATGGGCTGATTTTCAAAGCTCAAAGGAGAATATAGATTAGCTACGAACAGGGTGACAACAGGTTATGTCTGTTGTCTTTCTGCAAATGTCAGTAGGGCCCGCTTCATTCCCTAAGTTTTGGCCAATACATCCAATGGTCATGCAGCTATGAATACATTACAAACTCAGGTTTGGCAAGGATATGCTTTTATGAGAAAGTTCAATCATACAGAGGTAGTGATATGTAAGTTAACAAGAAATGAAAAATAGATAAAATAAGTTCTTATTCTAATTTGCTATTTGTTTTGTAGAAAGTCATGGAACTAGGAAATAATTACTTGAAAATGCCGAGATATTTAAAAGCAGACTAAGCTCTATGTCTCTAACTTTTCAGCAACATGGAGGGTAGTCACATATACTCTCATGTGAAAACCCTCAGGCTGTCATCAGAAACTGAATATAATCTGAAAAGGGTCACTGCTAAGACTCACTGTATATCAGTTATCTCTACTTTAATTTCATACTCAATGAAGCAGCACCTCCTATACAAAGATCACATGCCCAAATAAATTTTTGCTTTCATAAAGTTTTCTGTTAGTTATAAACAGGAAAAAATAGTAACCTTTAATTTTTGCAGTGAACTGAGTCTAGTGTAGAGGCAATGCTTGGGAAGCTCCTTTGACACTAAATAGCTGCCGGTTTCTTCAGGTGTCCCCTTATTTGCATCTTTTGGATCAATATCTAGGTCCTGTGAAAATCAGTGAATGTTATTAATGAAATCACAACATTGTCTATGACAATAAAAATCTTAACAGGTCTTGCCCTCTCATGAATACTGGCCTAAGTAGGTAATCATTTATCCAGGACTAAAGAAACAATGTTCTAGGAATAATAGGAATCTTAAATTTTGTGCTGGTACATTTAAAATGTTAGCTCTAAAGGATAGTTACTTTCAAACGATCTCTAGAAACACTTCTTTTTTTTAATATATATATTTTATTGATTTTTTACAGAGAGGAAGGGAGAGAGATAGAGAGCTAGAAACATCGATGAGAGAGAAACACCGATCAGCTGCCTCCTGCACATCTCCCACTGGGGATGTGCCTGCAACCCAGGCACATGCCCTCGACCAGAATCGAACCCGGGACCCTTCAGTCCGCAGGCCGACGCTCTATCCACCGAGCCAAACCGGTTTTGGCAAGAAACACTTCTTAACCTACTCAAGATTCTTTTTAAGTTTGAGCCCCATGTAATGGCTTCTGGATTCTCTCCTTCCTCATTCATCACTTTTGGGAAGGGGTAGAGAATTTATATGACTCGTATATTTAAGAAGAATAAATGGATACACCAAAGACTGCCTTTCCCTTTATCTTCTTTTAGAGCAGCAGTTCTCAACCTGTGGGTCGCGACCCCTTTGGGGGGTCGAATGACCCTTTCACAGGGGTCGCCTAAGACCATCAGAAAACACATATATAATTACATATTGTTTTTGTGATTAATCACTATGCTTTAATTATGTTCAATTTGTAACAATGAAATTGGGGGTCACCACAACACGAGGAACTATATTAAAGGGTCGCGGCATTAGGAAGGTTGAGAACCACTGTTTTAGAGCCAATCTTTAGACATTTCTAAACTTGACAAATTTAAGGTATGCTGGCGATTCATTTTCAAATAATATGACCATTGTTACTAAAATTCAAATAAGTATTTACATATGTTCTATATATGTATACATATTTCTTTTATATTTACCATCAACTTTAAATTTTCCAAAATTTAGTCTTTAGTAATGAGGATATATCATTAATTTTAAATAAAAAAAAAGGAGAGCCTTACAAGCGGAAAATCGGTAACATAGGCATCGCACATTATTATATCCGGTGGTTTGTGGACTATACTTGTGTAGATTATCATGACGTTGGAAAACTCAGCCGCAAATCCTAACTGAATCTGAACACCACATTGAAATTTAAGACACATACTTTCAGGAAGTTCTGAAAAAGAACAATAAGAATAACAAATATTTAAGGAGTGCTTGGTAAGTTTTCTGATGGCAAACAGCTAACAAATATTCTTTCTTTTAAAATTTTATTTTATTTTTGACAGTATTACAGACACCTCCCATTTTCTCCCTTTTTGCCCCCTCCACCGAACCCCTGCCCGACCCCAGGCCTTTCCCATGCTACTCTCTGTGTCCATGGGTTATGCATATATGCATGTATGTTCTTTGGTTAATCTCTTCTTGTCCCCTCACCTCTACCCCACCCCTGCCCACAAAGGTCTGTTATTCTGTTCCATGCATCCATACCTTTGGACCTATTTTGTTTGTCAGTTTATTTTGTTACAAATATTCTTTATAGGGCAAAATACAGTTAGAACACTTTCTTTTGTTTAAAATTGTTATATAATTAACAAATTGCTTGAAGATATACACAATTAAAGAAAAAGAAAAAAAACAAAAGCCCAATATTCTGCTGGTCAAGTAAATAAAAATCTTTCATTCACTGTTTTCTTATGGTTCTTGTCCCTTCACATATATAATTTTTTATAGTGGTAATCAAAAATATGCATACAGTTGTAAATATATTTTTCCTGTAGCTGCAATTTTCATGAAAATAGCATTTAAAAATTTTTTTTTAACACCAGTCCATCACGGTTAATCTTGGATTTTAATAATATGTTTTTATTGATTTTAGAGAGAGAGGAAGGGAGAAGGAGAAGAAGAGGGGAAAAGGAAAGGAGGGAGAGAAACATCAATGTGAGAGAGAAACATTGATAGGTTCCCATAACCTGGGTAAGTGCCCTGACCAGGAATCCAACCTGTGACCTTTCAGTGCACAGGACAATGATCAACCAACCGGCCAGGTTGGAAATAGTTTTTAATAAAGCATAATGTCACTCAATGTTTTCTTACCTTTAAAATTTTGCTACTGCTAAATATAGTATTTCTGGGCTTTATTGGTTTTGTATCGTAGTAATTTCTTATATATATAAATTCTTTAGGGTTGTTGGATATAACTATTTGATGGTGCCTCACAATTGTGGCAGTTTTCCATTTACATAGAATATAACTATAATATAGTTTCTCCACAACATTTCCACAAGGTAATATTTTCAAAACGTTTGCCTATTTGATGGGGTTAAAAAAAAGAACTTATGTCAACATAGATTTAATTTTCTTTTCTATAATGACTATTTTAGTTTGTTATTTTCTACATTTGTTTCTTAATTACTAATATATTCTCAACTATGTGAATTGTTGAATTTGCATTCTTTAATTATTAAGGGGGGTCTTAATGTTTTAATTTTACTATTTTGCATGAGCTCTGTGTTATAAAAAATTATCTACTTATCAAATTCGTTACAAATACTTTCTATCTGACCTTTCAGTTTCATTTTATAAAAAGGTTTTGTTTACTGTTGATCTTTACTACTATGATTTTGTTATTGTTGATTATCGAGATTTTTTGAAGGAAGAGAATAAATTTCTATTATCCAATTATCTGTAATGTCAAGATAATTTATGGCATTTTACATTTTAATATGTTAATTTACCCAAAAATATATTCTCATATATTATAAAAAATATATAGGAGTTCAACAAATACAATTATTTTCAATTATCCATAAAGAGGGATTCACAGCATAGATATGTGGACATAGAAAATCCCAAAATCTTTATTTCAGTCAATAATTTAAACTTACTTTTTCACAAAATCACAAAGAATTACCAAAGGTAATTAAGTTGCAGATATGAATGCTACCTCACCTTCCTTTTCTCTTCATCACCAATCCACTTACTCATTCAAGTGTCAAAGACAAAATGCTCAATGATATTTATGGGCAGATAGTATTTGCAGACCACCATGTGTGTCTTGTTACATGTGTGATCTCATTCAATATCAACAGCCCTATCCAGTAAGTACTATTTCTTCTACCCATTTTATAGATAACATGTTTATTAAGTGGTAGAGATAGGATCAGAACCCAGGCTTGTCTGAATTTGGAAACAGAACACAACAGTTCACATATAAGACAATGTAAGAGATGGCACATGAGGTAAATTGAAAATTATTTTT